TGCAAAAATGTTATGTTATGTTTAACAGAAGGGGAACAATTCAGATGTGGAAAAGCATTTGAAATAACATGCCAAACTTTTATGTTTCCCTCCCCTCCTTTCTACTGATCTCCATCAAGTTTTTATTGCTGTTATCAGACATCAAGTCGACTTCAACTTATGGCAACCCATGAATGAAACACCTCCAAGTCACTCTTTTTGTCAACAACCCTGCTCAGATCTTGCAGTGAGTCTCAGGGCCATGGCTTCATTGCTTGAGTCTATCCAGCTGCAATGCAATCTTCTCCTCTCTTCCTACTACCTTCTACCTTACCAAGCATTCTTCTCTAGTGAGTCACGTCTTCTCATGATACATCCAAAGTACAACAGTCTCATTTTAGCCATCTTGGCTTCTAGGGAGAGTTCAGGCCTGATTTGCTCCAGGACTCTTTATTTGTCTTTTTAGCAGGACATCATGTCCGCAGAACTCTTGTCCAGCACCACATTTCAAATAAGTTGGCTTTCTTCCTAGCAGCTTTCTTCACTCTCCTGATTTCACGATCATACATATCCTGGTCATTGAGCATCCCCTCCCCTTGGTTTAAATTTCCCTTTTATTGGATCTTACGGAAGAGATCTCTTGTTATTTCTTTTTTTGTTGTCATCTTGGTTCTCTGTATTGACTATTATAGTAGTTCTCTTTGTCCCTGTGCACAAGTCACTGAACAGTCGCATTCAGAGTTCTGATGCTATTTCTGTCACTTTTTATTTTTGCTTCTTGTCTGTCCTTAACTGCTTGAAGAATTTAATCTGTCATCCATTGAGGCTTCTCTTTTGTTTTGGCTGCAGAATGTGTTTTCCCTTCTTTGTTGTTTTTTGCATTCCTCCCTGAAAATGTCCTTGGCTTCTGTCCCAGGTTCTCCTGACTCCTGGTCAATACAGTGAGCTTGCTGTATTTGTGGGCTAGCTATCCCACAGATTACCTAGTCCCATAATAGCTAATGGTAGCACACACATGTTGCCACCAGTTGACTAATATGGGTTTGAGCTCCCATGGTTTTTTCCCATCCGTAGAGAGGCCTGGAGCCAAATCCCCACAGATGGGAAGTGTCTAGTGAAGCACAAATCTTTTTTTAAAGAAACATCATATTACAGGGATGTTCTTTTGGTTGTATTTTGGCATGATGGCTGATTTAGTGTTCTGCTTTAGTTTTACTCTAATTTTTAGTATCAGCAGTTTTAGACTGTACCACAATCTGCTCCTGGTCTTGTTTTTGCAGAGATAGTGGAGCTTCTCCATCTGCTTCCAATTGTGTAGTCTATTTGATATCTATATTGTCCATCAAATAATGTCAATCTGTACAGTCACCTTTTGGATTGCTTGAAGTATGTATTTGCAATTAAGCTGGTGGCCTCACAAAACTCAGTCAGTCACTCTCCTGCTTCATTTCTTGAACCTAGGTCAAATTTCTCTTCTTCGCCCTTTACGGCGCAGCATTTGATCACTGTGCCAGAAAAGCATCCTGACACCATGTGCCATGCGTAACGGCGGGCGGCGTCAGGAGACCACCAGCGGGGGGTTGGGGCGGGTGGCGGGTGGCTGCCCCACCCTATCTCTCCCTCCAGGCCAGCTTTTTGTGCCAGTTTGCAGAGGCCCTAAGTTCTATTTCTTATTTTTCTATGCCTAGCTTCCCCTGATTCATGCTTCTTGCATTCCATGTTTCTATAAAACATATTGCACAGCTTTGGACTGTGAGCACATCTACAGCTGAATGTCCTTTCGGCTTGAGTCCAGCTGCATCATTAGCCATGTTACTCACAGTAGTCCTCTTCTGTACCCCAGTAGGTCATTGAGTGCCTTCTCACCTGAGAGTCTCATCTTCTGCCACTATCTCTTCTTCCATTTTGAGCTGTCTCATCATAGAGTTTTCATGGTAAAAGACATTCAAAAGGCATTCATTGTGTCTCCTTTTGCACAGTAGTGACTACTGTTAGCCATCGCCAATGTCTTTGAGAAATTCTCCGCCAGTGTCACACACACACCCACTACTACTGCTGCCCTATAGTCTACAAACTGCTTTATAAACTCCCTTCCACTAAGATTATAAAGATATTTATGTATGTCCTTCAGGGAGATTGTCTCTGGTTTCAAAACTGAAAGTCAATGTTTATTGCCTTTTATTGCTTTTCCCTGTTCCCAACAAGCATAGAGACAAAGATGAAAACATAATATTTGATAATATTTGGTGAGCTCAGTTTAAGAGTTTGCAGACACTTCCTTGCTATCACATCTTAGACAACATACAATGACATGCCTTTAAGATCAAATTGTCTCCCACTTCTCCCTGCCTGCTCTTTGTAACATCTTGCCTCAGTAAGGGACCTGGAGGTCTTGAAAGCTTGCACAGACTTGTGCGTAATGTTGGTTGGCTTTGTACAGACATTGTAACAATATGGATTTTGGAACTTGTTGCAGCAGGAAAGATTATCTTGAGACAAGGGTAGGAGATAAAAGCACTGCTTGGTATGAAGCCCCTGTGGTGTTCTTTTCCAAATCCAGACCCGTTGTGGTGAATATCCTGCTTTGTTGTCTATTGAAAGGGATGGATGAGTCTGAGATACATTGTAAGCACAGTATGAAATTGTTGATCAATATCCTTTTATCTGCTGATGTTTCTGAAAACACATTTATTTCCCACACTCACTCTCATCCAAAATTTTAAAAACTATAAGAAACCATCCTAAGCTAACTTTTAAAGTGAGGCTTCCAGTAAGAAGGTTAAGAGAGGATGTTAAGCCACCACAGGTGTACTATGAAAGCTAAAATAATATGTTAAACAGTGGATACACTATACAGTGTCCCTCCACATGATATCATAGTACATGGTGAACAATTAGGAAATGGTCATTTGTGTTAATAGGAGCGATTAAAGAGTCCTAAATGAATCCATAGGAAAAACCAGAGATGCCTCTCTCCATCCATCCCTCTCTCTGTGGGTCCAGCTACACTGTAGAAATAACATGGTTTGACACCAGTTTAACTGCCGTTGCTCTAACCTACAGACTTTGTAAAACTACAAATCACAAGATTCCATAGGATGTGGTGCCAAACTGCATTATTTCTACAGTGCAGATGCAGCCTGAGTATGTGTAGTCAACTTCAGAGGTGATATGGAATCTGCAGAAATTTTAGAAGCTGAGAATCAAATTCCATTTGCTGGGCAAAAAGAACAATATGGCCCCTGTAGAAGGGCATAATATATATATATATAGGTCAAAATATGTTGAACTTTATAATAAAGCAACCATCTACTGAGTACTTTGAGGTGTGTCCCCAGTATTTCCTGTGCAATAGAAAGTATACTACATTATTTTCCTCTCCTCACTGAACCTTGCCTATACTTGCAATCTATGATATACCCCTAAATTACTATAAATGTGGCTCCTGCAAAATTAATTAGGTTTTAGGGTACCTTGAGTAGTCTTTTCTATATATAATTATATGAGGGGGGTTCATCCTGGAAATTTGGGAGCTAGCAGGGAGCCATGATATAAGTGTTAGACTAAGGGCCTTTGCAGACTGCCAGAAATAGTGCACATTAAAT